GCTGCATTGCAATATTGATTGTTCGGATCATTGGTATCTAAGTCTTCCGCTGTGCTATCTTATACTTTGTATTGAAAGGTCGGTTCTTGTTCTGGACTGCACCTATACGGTATGCAACAGCTCTATGGATTCCGGAATTCTGTGGGGGGGGGGAAGACGGTGTGGCACGATTTACACCAGGGTAGCGCCCACCTCTTCGAGCAGTTTCATTCGCTAAAGGACATAACACAAGCAATTCATCAATTCTCTGGGGACTGGTTGGGCAGTGAGAACGGGGGCTGGATCTCATCTGTCCGATGGGATGGCAGGCCCACCCAGAAATGTAACCAGGAGGAATTCAGGGGAGACTACCGTATTTGCTCCAGAGACTGGACTAAGGTGGGCCAGGAGATCCTGTTGCGACCATCCACAGAATTTCCCGACCCCTTCCCACCCCACCAGCTGGCAATGGTCAATATGCAATGGTATGGAGCAGAGTGAGCAAGATCACAGGCAAGACCACATGCCAATGGGACCAAGTAAGGAAGAAGCGGGTCTACAAACAGGACACGGAAGGTATCGGCGGGTATTCAGAGAAAGTAGGAAGTTGCTGCTAGGAAAACATGAGTGATCTGGTGGTCTGGCGCAGAGTGAAGAGGCGGCGCCCTGAAATGTACTGTTGTCCAACATACTTATCATTAACCCTGCACAGTTAATCCCCTGGAAACAGGGCAATTAATGCTGGCAGGCTGTCAGATGTACAATGGGAGGCTGGACCCGTATGCCAGCAGGTGCGGCTCCCCACCAATAGACCAGAGCACCCACTCTTGCTAGGAGGGGGTGCTCTTATCACCTCTCCGAGCAAAGACACTGCAGTAATTGAAAAAAAAAAAAAAAAAAAAAAAAAAAAAAAAAAAAAAAAGCGGAATCCGAAGACATCTCTACCACCGTGAAAAGTCAGAAACGGGCCTTGCAATAGCAAGACCTACCTGAGAGTTTTCCCTGCTGGGTGTTGGGAACACTACCACCCGGCCTGCGCTATCTATGCTCCTGGGCCTGCACACTGTCTTGAAGGTCATTACGCCTCAGTCAATTGCCCCGATAAGCCATCACACCACAGTATGCCTATGCCGTGACGGTGCCTATGGCAGCACAGCCAGTACGTTCATCAGTGAAACTAAACATGGGTCGCAGTGATTGAGTGGTGCACTGGTGCATAACAATGACTCTTGTGTCATGGTGATTGGTTCATTGACTCTTCCTATGTACTTCATCACGGTGACTATGCATGGGCACTGAGTACCTAAGTCCATCGTGTGACTATTCGTGTGTGCATGCCCACACTGTGACTATCATGATGGAGATTATTCCATCATGATATTGTGGCAGCTCAGTGGAGTATCGCCATGATATTTTACATAATGGTGATCACTCGGTCAATGTGTTTCAGAAAGTTCAAGAGAACCACATCACACTGTTCAAATGGAAGCAACGGTGGAGGCAGTGGCCATGGCAGCCGTTGAGGTGGCGATGTCCTGTTCGACTGCTTGTGGAATATCGCCATGAGTTGATAAACAGATACGAGTATGGCAACCTTCACTTGTTGCGCGATTTGACCAGCCTAGGAGCAAGATTAGGGGGCCATGGGGTAGAAAAGGGATCAAAGGTGGTCCGTTCAAGCAAGTGGCTAGTTCGGAAGAGAGTGAAGATTCCTAACATAGCAGGTGCAGCACAAAACACATATCTAATGATGAACTTGGCACTGGATCTGGGATTCAGAGGATTAGAAAACAGGGAGGTTGTCCTAAAAGACGAAGTTTTAGCGAGGAGGGAGAATAATGTGGAACGGAGGAACTTTCGGAAATGTCTTCATTAGAAATTGATTAAGTTCAAGAAGTTTGAAAGAAAGGCATTATAAAGAGTGGAGTGGCAGGGAAGGAAAAAGCAACCCTATTCACTGTTTAGATGCTAATTTCGCAGGATTCTCACCGTTACAGAAAATTGTGAAGTGACATCAGCAAGGTAACTCATGGACATTGATTGTTCATTATCTTGTCATTTGCGAGATAAAATTGGGCAAGTAAGGGCTCGTTGAAAGAGGAATTTAACAACGCTTGAAAAGACTTCACAAATGAAAAAGCTGAGTAGAAAAAAAAACTACTTTGCTGCATTTGACAGGGGACACATCAAATGAGGTGATCTTTGAATAAATACAACGAAAGATTTGTTTGACGCATAATTTCAGGAGCCACAAGGTCAGAGAAATAGGGATGTCAAGATTTACAAGGGAAAATAACTACTGATCAAAGGCGACTTTTTGAGGGGAATGCTGCAACTTGGTGATATCGTCTTCTCGATGAACGATGATAAGTTAAGTGTCATTCCAAACACGTGAAAGCTAGGACTGGCTTGGACACATTACGTGTGCAATGAACCTCCCTTTACTCAACCCCAAACTAAGCATGCACAGACAGAATTTTCTCACGAGAGTTCACACAAAGTCAAGATATGAACCGATTTAGCGCAATGGAGAACTTCAAACAATTGTCATGATATAAATTGAAAGAGTTCAGGTAACCAGCGGCCGTTGTTGCGCCCATCAACAACCCCCTTCCGGTAAACACCCGACTCTCTCTCTCTCTCTCTCTCTCTCTCTCTCTCTCTCTCTCTCTCTCTCTCTCTCTCTCTCTCCTGACTTGTATCACGCAGCCTCACTATGTCTCTCTCATACCGAGATCGCACCCCTGAATACACCCGCGTCACTTCCACCTTCGACCTCGTGGCTATGGCCACCTTCTCTCTCTCCCCTAGCTAACCCTAACTATGGTCAAGGCGCCGTCCTCCTCCTTCAGACACTCGTCTTCCCAGGTCACAATGTCACACAAGCGACCAGCAGCGCTTCTGAACTCACGAATGGACAATTGCCTGCTGAAGTCACTGTACCAGCTATTAATACAAGGTTTGACTTGTGTATGCCTGCTCCCGACCGGTACCGGGCGCCCACGGCCTGCCAGCTGCAAGTTTTGGTCACCAGACTTTCTTGGGACGCTGCTGCAAATTTGGAGTTCAGGACTGGACTCTTCCTGTCGGATACCAGTAGACTTCAACCAACCTGCGATGCTTCGTCCTTCGGACCCTACGAGACCCCTACGACCCTGAGACTCAACCTACTGGGACTCGATAGGACTGGGACCATCTGGTACTGGGCCCACCTGGGCCTCTGGGACCGGGACTCGGGACTTGTGTGCAGCATAAAATCCTTTCACGCGAGATAGTCAAGGATAAAACAGCTTTTCATAGCAGATTTCGAAGAAACGCGGACAGCAATTGAGGCAGCATGCTCAGCAAGAAGGGCAAGGATGCGGCAATTATGGACACTTATTCAAATGCAGCTCCCTTGATTACGTGGCACTATGATACTCCTCGTCCCTTACGCAGCCTGATAAGCATCAAGGTCTTAATACACTAGCACTCTTGAAGCTCAAGTAAATCTGTACATGCAGAGTGAAGTTCGCTGAACCCCAGAATTAATTAATACTTCTGGTTACTGCTACCATTGCTAACCATGGTTAATGGATGGGCCTGAATGTACCAAAACGAACCTGTGGCGCCCGCAATTCTAACCTTCAAATCGGAATTTGGGTGCCACATGCGTGGAGTACAACTGCAGAAACACGGGGGTATAAGGCCTGGAAATCCTTTGCACCCAAACAGTGAGCAGGGCTGGTACGAAGAGCGTAGCAGGGTGTAGAGGAGCAGATATCAAACCCTGGTGCAGAAGACCTTTGGAACGGAACTCCGGTGCCAAAATGTGTGAGGCCACTGCAGAAAACACTAGGGCGTAGATTGCTTCGCACCTAAACAGCGAGCAGGTTGGTATACAGACCATAGCGGGATCCAGATGTTGACGTTTTGACATTTGGTGCATTACATAAACAAGGGACCATGAAGCAAATACTTCCCAACACACACAATGAGATGACCCATTTTTTCACGAACGTATTCACATGATGACAACCTCAGTTACTCTGTACATCTCTGTGAGCGCATGTGGCTCAAGCCCGTTCTCCATGCTTCAACCTAAAGATGGCGTTTTCCAGGACTGGCTGATTGAAGAAACCCATGATTGCCTGTGGTGATGTTAGATTGTAGTTCGTCAACTACAACGAAAAATATTTCACTTTGGGAAAACAAAGGGTCAATCTGAAAAAGGTTTGCTAGGGAGTATATCACTCTTTTCGATGGCTGGGCAGGTGATGTATCTATTCGGTTTGAAGTTCTCATTCTTAACTGGTGAAAGGCGACAGACAAGGATCCACAGGCATAATGGAAAGAAAAGCAGAAGGTAGGTCCAGACTCGCACCTTTCGAATTGCTGATTCCAGCTGCCGTAGAACCACTGCTTCAACAGACACATCATCCAAAGGAATTTCCAGGATTGGATAGAGTACATGTTCTTTCTCCCTCGCAACAGCTCCGACATTTTCTGCACCATCTGGGGGAGTAACTGAAGCTTTCTCTTCCACATTAAGAATCACTCCTGATCTTGGTACTGCTCTGGATGGCTTACTCTTCTCAAGAGTGGACTGATCCTGCCCCTGATGATCTTGAATGCGTTGCAAGGTTTTCTGCTGTGGTTGAAATCCTGGCTGAGGTTCTATCTGCTGATTTATGCGCATCTGTGTCAACCTACGAAATTGGAGATACCTCACTCGTTGGTTATGGGTCGTTGGAACTGCCACAGGGCTCCTTCCCCCAACCGGACCCTGCCCCAACTGTGGAATTGACACTGTGGAGGGGACCACCTGTCGTGTCCCCGGCAGTTGAAGGCCCTTGCTTCCTGCTGCAAGAATACGTTGAGATGACACTTGGCTACCTGTAGCTGTGCCACTCGCCAGGTGAGAGTGGTGAGGAGGCTGGGTGTACTGGTAAGAGCCCCGACAAGACATGTCAGCCATCCCAAACATGAGGTGTTGCTTATGCTGTCGATCCTCCATGTTCAATTGGTCCTGGTGCAAAGCTGGAGCTTCTTGATGAGGGAAAAAAGGGACTCCAGTTGCCGAGAGAGGAACTTGAAGTGGTGATATGTACATGTTGTGGGAATAAGCTCCCATCAGTCGAGCTTGAGGTTGTTGCTGCGGGATGTACTGCACATCACTAAACACGACATTCCCAGCAGATGTTGCACATGCAGAAGATACAGCTCGTGAACTCAGAATGTGAGGTCTAGACAGAAGTGAAGGGACAGTTTGAGTTGATAACTGGTAAGAGTCCATTGGTAATGCCATGGTGCCCATAGAACGCAAGCCTGGCTTCTGAAGAGATTCCCGCCGGGCTTTCTCTTCTGTCTTCTTCCGTGCTGAAGCAGCACGCCGAGCCCGGTGTCCCTGCAAAGAGCATGCGACCAAAAATATCAGGCTTCGTGTTCGATTGTCCCGCATGTTGGTAACTAGACCAATAGATCACATGTTTTCTGTTCTGCAACATGCCAACAGTTGCCAAATATCTTGGGATAGCTGGCCAAGCCCATTGGGAAAAAACCTCTGGTTGCAAATAGCATGCTGCATAGAAACGATTTTACCTGATACATCAGACATCACCGAGTCCAGTTGGATGAGAGTCGTTATCTACATCTCAAATTTTCATATTATCGCAGAAAGGTTCTACATATTTACGACAAAATATAATAAAACCAATCATGAAGCTGAAGCGACAGCATGGATAATAACGTGTGCCAGACCACGAACAACAAGATGTTCACTACTCATTTGAAGAACTAGCCAGCCAGTCATAGAAAAACAGCAACTGCACACCAAAGGCTCTATGGGATAAGGCCAGTGTAACATGCAAATAACAATGTTACGCAGAATAACAATGCAAACCGCTTTTGCCTCAGACTCATGTCAGAATTCCTCACCAAACTTGAGTTAAAAGTCAAAAATCAGGGCAGTCATGCCCACGGTCGGGTGCTGACCAGCCGACGGTAGGTGCCGTCAGCGCCGACATGAAGCTGAAGCGACAGCACGCGTCACACTGCGCACAGCGCACGACATGCGCGCACGGGGTGCGATGCACCCCGAAAATAAGGGGTCGAGAAAAAAAAAAAAAGTTGGGGAGGGGTGTTTTAGACCCGAGTGGGATGTCGCATCGAAGCCTCCGAAAAAAAAAGGGGGGAAGTTCGTTTTTTTGTTTGTGTGTGTGTGTGTTGTTTGTGTTTGTGTGTGTGTGTGTGTGTGTGTGTGTGTGTG